GGCGAGGAACGCGGGGGCTGCGAGCCCTTAACCCCTGCGGCACCTGGCCGAGCCCCGCGCTGCGCATTGCCTTGCGCTGCCCGGCCCCGAGCGGCTCCGGCCGTGCCGCCGACTGTGGTGGAGCTCCGAGCGCTGGAAGTTGGACGTGGAAGGGGATGCGGTTGGGATTTTCCGGGGTCTTTGGCGAGCCTTTTCCCCCGTTCGCAGCCGTGTAGGTGCGTTCGCTTCCCCGGCGCCGCTCGGGCTCCCGGCGCCGCTCGGCTCCGCTGCCGATCGCAGCAGCCGTTTGGAGGAATTTTTATTTTTTTATTTTTTACGTTTTTTTTTTCCTGTTGCTGACACGCTGTTTTTTGTTATCTTTTATCACAGAAGCGGTTTATTAAGGGGTTGAGGCAGTACGGCAAGAACTTCTTCCGAATCCGAAAGGAGTTGCTTCCCAATAAGGAGACCGTAAGTACATTTGGACTTTATGTAATTCGCCTTTTCTCTCGTTGCTTCGCTGTTTGATCTTGCGAAACTCTCTCCTTTTTACCCCGAATTCTCCTCGGATAAACGGAAGAAAAATCCATAGCCAGCCAGGGTAGCTGCTGATTTTTAGTGCAGTTTTTAGGTCTTGGGGAATGAAAGATGTTACATAAAATAATCGTCATGGCTGGACGGAGCCACTGAGCCTGGGTGAAGTGTATTTATGGAGACCAAATCTAATTTTAAATTCTGACATTATGACGGGATAATACATTTTGTGTCACCCGGTCGGGCTCGAGTGGCATCGGGTAATTAAAGAAAACCTAAACCAAAACAACATCTGATGGGATCGGGCAGCCCGAGGTTTGCGCTGCGCTTGTGACCCGCACTCTGCCGGGCTGGGCTTAACTCTTCCCCTTCCCTGGAACTCGAGATCAGGGATGGATCCGTGGTCTCCGAACTTCCCCGGGTTATGTAACCCTGTCATCCCACCCAAAATCCCGGCGGGGCTCTGGGGACACGGGCAGGGAGCGCTGGGGGACTCCTGCAGAGGAGACCGGGATGCCTTGGGAACCCGGCCACTTTTCCATTTGTCCTAAAAGAGCCTCGGTTTCTGTCCTGCAGGTGTCCTTTAACTGCGGGGAGGCTTTGGGAAAGTGATTTCCTTTTTGTTCTGGATTTAGAAGGGAGGTAGCTCCATGAAAATGGAGTTGGGCCATTCTCTAGTATATAAGTGATGTGGAAAACACCGATTTAAAGCATCACGGAGTGTTTAGACTTTGGTAGGTGTGGAGTCTGGATGTGCACTGGGGAAGAGCATTGCTCTAATAATATTTTAAAAGCTCTCAGTTTCTGTAGGATGATTGCAGTTTCCTCCAGGAGGTTGTCGTGAGACAGTGCTGTGATAGCACAAATCTTTGGGTGGTAAATAGTAACACTGTGTGGGTTACAGAGGCAGGGGAGGATGAGACAATTACAAGTTCACTCATTCTGGCGAGGAAGGAAACTCAAATTACTGCTCAGGTGTTGGTGGACTCGAGGATTCTGTTGGATTTTGAGGCCCAGTGCTGGAAAGGTGGCAGCTGGGAAGGAATGCTGGAGTAGTACGGATCTTGTCAGTATCAGATAAACCCAGCACAAATCGTGCCTTTCCTCTCCTCTCCAGAATGTCTCCTGGAATGGATCTAGAACAAATCAGTGTTTGCTTCTAGAAATGAATTCTGCTGATGGTAAAGTGAGGGGCAAAAGTCCTCTTCTGAGTTTGAATTAGAGCAGCTCTGAAGTGTACTGTGTTTTTATAAATTGAAATTTATATTTTAAATATGAAACGTGGGGAGAGGGGTTTGTGACAGAGAAAAACATTTTGCAGGGGGAAGAAAAAAAAAACCTGAAAAATTTAAAGTTGGGGGCAGGTGCCTGCCCCTGTTTATTCTACTTAACTTCTTACATTGGAGCTTGGATATCAGGCTTAGGATTTTTGTAAAAGTATTGCAAGTGGTGTTAAACCTCACACAAGGTCTCTTTTTTCAAGTGTTGTATTTTTGTTTCATTAGGTGTAATTTTTTACTACAGAGAAGACTAAATATTAAGTCTGTGCTGTGGGAAGTATCACGTTGGTGGGTTTGGGCTCAGGGTTTTTTTAGCCCCTGTGGTAACTGATCTACAAATAACCTTTGACCTACAACGGGTTGTTTATAATCTGCACTTCCTATTTTTGCCCACAGGCCTCACTTCTGCTTTCTTTAATTCCCAATCTTTTTCAGCCAAAATTTACAGCTTTTGCTATTGGAAGACATTGCAGGATAAAGGCTGCAGTAAACAGAAGTCCAGTTCTGCTTCTGTTCCTTAAAGTGGAGTAATGAGTAATGTAAATGACGAGGCTGTGGGATTAATTTGTCTGTATTTTTTCATCACCAGAATAATTTCAGATACTTTGCCTGCCGTTTTTCTGTTGCAGTGTGAAGTAACCCTGTAGCAATTCCAGAAACACCAGAAAAAGGCTTTATTCTCCATAAACATATTAACATCAGTGAAACTCTGAAAAGTTGTTCTATGGTTACTAAAGCAACTTCCAGCTATTTAAATATGTGTCAGGGGCACTCTTGGAGTGACTTGCCCTATTGGCTCTTGGGCATCTTACTTATTAAGAGTTTTCCTTTCTGGTCACTGTGGGGAAGGGACCCAGGGGGTTTTTGCCTCTACAATCCCCACTAAAAGTTAAATCTCCTTATTATCGTGATTTTTGTAAAATACGTCCTTTCCTAGACCCTTCACTGGGGGAAAATTCTCCCTAATGTCACCCTAAACCCTATGGCTGGAACATGAAAACAGTGGAAGAAAAGGAATGCAACAGAAATACAGAATTCTTGTAGAGACCAGGCCTATTTTATGTTAAATCAAGCTGAGGCTGCTGTGCAGAAAGTCAGGATATAGAGGTGAACATGACATTGTATTTCTTTTCTACTTTGGGAAGGTGTAAAGTGGCCGTGGTGAGAGATGAGAATTAGGCCATCCTGTTCTGAGCTTGCACAAGTGTGTTAAGGAATGTCCTATTTGAGTTGTGCCTTGGCTTTTTTTCCCCTCCATAGTTAGTGTGCAATATCTTTTGAGAAAACCTTGTATTTCTCATGTGTGTTTTAAGGAAGTTAGCATAGATTTTCAATGATTTTTAAATTATTTCTTCTAAATGAGTGATCCTCAAGAAAAAAGCTTTATGAAAGAGAATGTTTATTCCATATCAAAGGTGTGTTTGTTTGGGTCTTCACTCTGCTGGTTTATTTCGCATTTCCAGTTGATTTCCATGTTTATGTCCAGGAGGGGTTCCCAGTGGATGTGGGAGTAAAGAACTGCAATGGATCAAGGCAGGTGCTGCTTTAATGTTGGATCAGTGTTAACCTGCTCATTCTCTGGAGGAAAAGCCTGTGTGCAGATGAGCCGTGAGGTTTCTGAATGAAACTTCTGAAACTTCCTTGGGTTTCCACTGACCTGTCTGAAATGCACCTTTTCCTTTATTTCCATGTGGCTCTCTTCCTTTTATCTTCCCCTGGGTGGTTTTCCCTTAGTGGCAGCTGACACAGCTGATGAACTGCCCTGCTCTCCTTTGGTTCCTGCTTAGCAGCAATTCTGATTCCTCTTTATGGGAAGAAGTAAATTTTGGAGGCTTTTCAGTGACATGAACACTTTTCAATAATTACTTCCATTTAAATTCCCATGTTGTGAGAATGAAAGGTGCACAGCTGGCAACAGTTTTCTTAACTATCTGGTTTGGCTTTAAATGTGGTTTTATTTGCCTCCTATCCACCCATTTTGGGATAATTTGCTAAAACTTCGTGATAATACAGGATTTTCCGAGTATTTAACATTCTGCTCTGAATTCTTTAGATGATTACACTGAGCTACTTGAATTTGAGAGTTTTAGAAGCACCAGCATTGTGATAGGCCTGAGATAAAGGTACTTAAATGCCTCCGAGGTTGGGGATTGCCTTTTTGTGTTCATGGAAACAGCTTAACTCTGTGTTGGCTTCGTGCAGGAGGGAAATAGGAACAGGGATCAGACAGGAGCTGGAGCAGGGCAGTGACTCCATCAGAGCAGGAGAGGAGGTGCCAAGTCCTGGTGTCACCTTGCTGGGATCCAGAGCTGGCTGCTGCTCCCCAGCCTGTCCTTGTGCTGCTCTCCCAGAAACGCTTCTGGGAGCCTCCGTTTGTTGGAACTGTGCAAGGCCAGAGTCCCAGCAGGAACAGAATTGTTCCCCAGTGCCTGGGGTTCCTGCAGCCTGCTTGGGGCAGCGGTGCTGTCTGAGCAGTGGAGCTCCAGCCCCGTGCCCCCAGACGTGGGGATGTGTGTGAGTGTCCCTTGGCAGCCGTTCCTAGGTTCAGGAGTGATCTCTGTTATCCTGCCAGACTGCCATCATGGCCTTGGCTGCAGCTGAATCGAGATTTTGGAGCCACCTTGTCTCTCTTGGGGACGGGCCTGAGCACTTGGAGCCCTTGTGAGAGCTCTGGGGATGTTCTGGGGCTCTCCAAAGGTGCCTGTGCTGCCCAGGGCCAGGTCCTGGTCCCCGTGCCCCTCTCTCCTGGCAGGCCCTGCAGCAAGCCCAGCAGGAGGACACTGGGTCTTTGTGCAGACTCTGTGCTAATTTGGGGTTCAGTTTCCCCATTGAGCACATAGGTACCTGTGGTGTGTGTGATTCTTGGTTTGGCTGCTGAGCAAGGGATGACAGAGTGCAATCGAAAGATCTTGCCTCTGGGTGGATGCTCCTTTATTTAGCTCTACAGCACAGTGTAAACAGGAGTTCTGAATATTGGCTGTTTCCTGACATTGAAATACCTGCAGTGTGCTGTACTTATGCACATAAGAACTAAATATGCATCATTTCTTTAGGAAAAATGGTCTCTCTTCTGATAGTAAAATCTTTCTCTTCAAATTAAATGCTGCTGGGACTTACCTCAGAGACTAAATAAGCTGTTCTCTGTTAATGTTAGGAGGCAAAATGAGTGCAGAGTGAGCTTTCAGCATAAACTTCTGTTTAATTTTAGATTGGGGTTTAGATAAACAATTTTATTCTTGCCTCATTAATGCTTAATCTTGTGTTACATAATACACAATATTGGCTTCCTGAGTAGCTCTTAAATCTAGTGCAAATGTGTAGTAGCTGAAAGGTCAGTGCAGTTAGCATATGTGCAGGCTGGCAAGGTGGCTGTCCCCTCTGAGCACAGACGGAGCCCTCCCCGTGCCACTCCTGATGGCAGCCAGCAGCCCCAGGAATATTTGTGCAAGGCTCTCCTGAGCATCTGAAAGGTAGAACTTCTCCCTCGACACGATTGTTCAAATAGCAGAGTGCCTTTGATCAAAGGAGGGGGATAATTAGATGAATATCTCTTGGTCTGTTGGTATAAAGTGATTACTTAGCCCTACATTGGCTTTTTAATATTTGCATTTAGTGGTGAGCCTTGTTTGTAGCAGGAGCTGCGTTGTGGCTGTGGCG